GCCACCTAAGTGAGATGCCAATTAAGCCCATATGGAAGAAGCACAGCAGCAGGGGTGGTCCAAGGATTGTAAATAATAATCCAAATCTGAAGGAGGGAATGGTATCAGAGCTTAAGTTGTGAAATAATGGTTTGCAGAAGGCTTTGGATGACAGTGGAAACCCAAAATACACTGACAGGATCTACACACGGAATAAGCCTCCAGTGATTTGCCTTTGACCATAACTCAGGGATTGGAATAGCCTGTTTATCAGACAGTACAGAGAGTTGATGAGATCTAGTACATTAAAATTAAAAAGCCTCACTTGAATGGTAAAACTTATCACTGATCTCCTTGACACACTGAGCTTGATCTGGTTTTTAATATTTTCTGTTTTAGCTTTTTCTCGAACTAGAGTGCATCTGTTGCATTTGTCAGTGTTGGTAGCCTTCTTGACTCTCTGTTCTGTATTTTTCTATGTTCTTCAATATAGAATAACTAGATTAACAGTTCCTGGGGGCGATGGTGGCAGGGGGAGGTGACGTAATGGAGAGCTAATATCAAGGAGTACGAGGAGGAGGAAAATGTCTTTAAACTGACTGAGGTAGTAATTGTAAACACTTCTTGATATGAGTGAACTATTGAATGGCATGATGTCTGGATTATGGCTAATAAAATGGTTTGAAACAAAAACTTTAGCCTATGTTCCTGCGTATTCTAGAGACTGCAGACAAGTAAGGTTATATTAACAACACCTGTCTCTTTATGACTGATTTATTTCTCTTGGCATTTTCAACATTCCTCCACGGTGAGTCATGTGCCAGCTTCAGTTCTATGGCCGAGTGATGGCCCACCGCAATCACGGACCACATCCTGCTGTACCCATTCCTCTGCCGATGGGCATTTAGACTGCTTACACCTTTTGGTTATTGTGAACAGGGCTACAAGTAACGTCGGCATACAAGCATCTATGTTCATTGAAGATACTCTAATCATCCCCACTTTCCAGACAAGTTAAACTGCCCAGCGTTACACGATAGAGTGAGGCTTTTAACACAGGCCCTGGTTCCAGAGCAGGGCTGGGTGAAGCCTGTTGTGATTCAGAAAGTAGAAATGAGAAATTCACACGACTGTGTCTTCCATCACCCGCTCCCGTTTTCCATTGGGAGAAACCCAATATCAATCCATGTTTAGACTGTCACTGGGTTCAATGTGAGCATCCAGAAGAGCCGAAAGAGGAGGCACAGTAGAAGGAAGCCCAACCCTCCCTCATTCAGCAGGGCCTTGGACATCCCAACCTTCCTCATGCCGTGACACTTTAACACAGTTCCTCATGTTGTGGTGACCCCCAGCCATAAAATCATTTTCGTTGCTTCTTCATAACTGTAATTTTGCTATTATTTTCTAAATTTGTTATGAATCAGGCAACCCTTGTGAAAGGGTCGTTCAACCCCCAAAGGAGTTGTGACCCACAGGTTGAGAACTGCTGATCTAAACCATAGTTTCCCAATCTTATTTGACCTACTACCCTCTTTTCAGGAAAAAATGAAAAATTTACTCAGCACTGCCCCATTTGAAAAGGTTTGTCTTGTAGACCAGGATAAAGTGTAGGCATCTGCTTTTACAGGCCACTCCCCGCCCCAGGGGTGGAACTGCCCACGTTGTGAAACACTGATCCAAACCCAATCTTCTCCTTTCACAGATGAGGAAATGTCAGACACAGGACTCCATGCTGAGACCATACAGGATCGAATGTTCTCAGTTCTTTGCATTCAGACAGAGACAGCAGCTACACTACATAGGAAAATGCCTGGGGGAAGCATTCATCTGATAACTAAATACAATTCACAAAACCCCAGGCCTGATAATAAAAAGCCAGAAGCCCCACAGAAATTGCTATCACGAGGTGACCAGTGCTATAAAGAGGTAGCAACCCATTGCTAGAAATGCAGATGCCAGGAGGCTAAAGTGCCTGCCTCAACCCTCTCCTAACAGAAAGCTGCTATCCCCAGGGTCTCTGCACAGCACAGCCAGCATCTGGGCCCCTCACTACTGCACCTGCCTCTCCTCCCTCCCTCCCTCTGCCTCACAAGTCCCCTCTGCCATTAGAGCCTGTGCACTCTTTCAAAACTCTCACAATACTCTCAGTCTTTTGAATATCCAGTTCCATTTGGTGCCAACATTTTCTAAAGATAAGGATTGTCTTTGTCTCCCAGCAGTGCAAATGGTTATGTGTTCAGCTACAAACTGAAAGGCTGGAGGTTTGACTGCACGCAGAGGCACTTCGGAAAAAAGGACTGGCAGTCTACTTCCCCAAATCAGCCACTGACAACCCTGGGAGCTCAGTTCTACTTGGACACACTCGGGGCTGCCAAGAGGTGCACGCTGCCTCCCCCAGGGTGCCGCATACGAACACATCTGATTGTGTCTCAAATCTAAATTAGAACTGCCAGAGCCTGATGCAACATGGATAAGGTTTGGGACCCAGCTGTGTTGGCTAGAGGGAATTGTTCATTAATAAGCATTAACACTCATCCAAAAGAGCAAGAATGGATGTTCTAGACCTAAATCTGGCCTAACCTTGGTTTTTGTATACCTACAGGCTGAGTGTCTTTCATGTTTAAAATGCAAGAAATAAAAGTCAAAAGAATGATTTTATGACATACAAAAATGATAAGGAACTCAGATTACAACAGCCATAAACAGAGAGCTACTGGTGGCGTAGTGGTTCTGAGCTGGACTGCTGGTCCTGAGGTCAGCTGTTCGAAAGCCCAGGAGAGAGGTGGGGCTTTCTACTCCCATGGAGAGTTATACTGTCTTGGGGGAGGGGAGATGAGGAGCTGATGCCAGGGGCTCAAGCAGAAAGATAATGTTTTGAAAAAGGTGATGACAACATCTGTACGGATGTGTTTGACGAAATGAGTATATATATGGGTTATGATAAGAGCTGTAAGATCCCCCAATAAAATGATTTTTAAAAACAGAGTTATATAGTCTCAGAAACCCCAGGGGGCAGTTTGACCCAGTCCTCTAGAGTCCCTATGCGTTGGCATCAACTGGATGGCAGCGAGTTCGGTTTTTCTTGGCACACAGGCAAACCCTTTTGCTCATATGTGGATTGGCTCTCGCATTGCAAGCCCTCGACAAAAACACACGTTCTCTCTCGCTGGAGTCCCCCTGGCCTGTGAAACCTGAAATCGTTACTCTCTGATCCTTTACAGGAAAATGCGGGCTCCGGCCCTGGACTGCGTGCCTCGCTCGTCTACCAACCTGCCCAAACCCACAGTCCTCCAGGCAGGCGGTCCCAAGCGAGAGCGCGCCTTAGAGTCAGAGCAGGGCTGCCAGGGGGTTTCCCCCAAGGAGTGGCTCATGGATCCAACCACTAACTTTTCAACTACTGAGCCACCCGGGCCCAGTATCAGAGGATACAACAAATCCAACAAACACTGCCAAATACATTCCCCAGGTCGGGGAGTTACTGAAACGGCCAAGTGTTTAATATTTGAAAGACAAGGCAATCGGCTTACTCTAATTAAACTCCATTACCCCAGCAAAACCTACCTATGGTACGTTCCATAACTTCTTACTCTGAAGTGAAAGAGCGCAAGGAAAAAAATCATTTGGCCTTTTCCCTCTGAGAGGTCTCTGTGCTTTGAAGCCACTCCACAAAACACAGTGCTTCCACCAGTCAAAATAAATACTGGGCAGCTGGGGAGAATGCTCGGTTCATGGGCCTCTGGCAGGGACTCCGGGAGTCCATTTCCACACCACCCAGATTGCACACTGGGGCCCTGTCTCTTGGGCTCTCTCCCAAAATACAGGCAGGCTGGAAACCGGGCTCAAAGGTGCTTACACAGAACTGCCCACACTGTCTCCTGGGTCCCGATGCTGCCGGGTGAAATGGTACCGTGTCAGCTGCTGCCCACCACAGCCAGGCCCTGGGCAGACAGCTCATAGTACCCTCACCAGTGCCCTTTCTGAAGCCCAAATCAGATCATGTCAACCCCCCACCCCCCACCCCCAGGAAAATCCTTCCTCTGATCCCCATTGTCCGCTGCGTGACACGCTGGGGACATCTCCAGTGAGTTCGGCCAACTGCCCTCCCCTGTAGCCCCTGCAGATGCTGTTGCTGGCCTTCCCCTCCCCAGGGCCCATCAGCAGGCCCAGCCCCTCTCTCTTCACTAGGCCGCAGCTCAGAAGCCTGTTTCGTCCCAGGCCCTTACTGACTCTCCAGTCTGGACCCCGTGCCTGGTCCGTGGTGCCCCGAGGTGGCACATGAACCTCACCCCCGAATGTCAGTTCCTGGGAGGCAGATGGAACTGCCTCCAGCACTTCACCCAGGCCCTGTCCAGTGCACAGTACCGGCTAGCTGGATGAATGGGAAGCCACTAGGGGCTGGGGAGACCCGGTCCAGCTAGTTACCAGGGCTGTGTGTGCCCTTGGTGCCTTAGTAGGTGGGAGGTGGGTAAAGTGTAGGTGTGGCTCTCTGTAAAGCAGGCTTCCAAGTCCTAGCCGATTTAAACCAGGTGCCTACAGTCACCTCCGACTCACGGTGGCCCTGTGTGTCTCAGAGGATACACCTGTGCTCCCTGGCACTTTCCAGACAGGGCTGCAGTTTCAGACGCTGACGGCCAGGTCGTTCTTTGTTCAAGTTACCCCTGAGGCGACCTGAGCCCCAGTGTTTCAGACAGCAGCCAAATGCACGAGTCTGTTAATGGTTTGCACCAAGCAGGGGCTCCCTTATCTATTTACGGGGAGTTGGTTCATTGCCATGTGGCAGGGGCACTGCTCCATGCTTCCTGGGTACGCAACTCCCTGCAGACTTCTGTGTTCGTGCCAGCCAAGCCACCAGAAGCCACCTGCTAGAACAGCAGCCCACAGTCGGCAAGCTGTGGCCTGAAACAAGGTAGGGCCGGGGGAAGCTGGCGATAAGAAGAGAAACTCCCACACACGGAATGCATGGAGCCCCGGGACCCTGATTTCCTCAGGTCCAGATCTGATTTTGCTTTTGTGCTTTCCCCGCCAATGCGGTCTTTGAACTATTTCTAAAAGGCTACGGACAACTGAATGACTTTGGACTCTAGAGAACAGACCTGTGGGCTGCTGGGCGCGTGGGAGTTACCGACACCCACCCTGTGGTGATTTACTCTGCGATCTCTGCCTTCCTGCTCACCAGCTCATCCCACCGATGGCCAGAAACTCCAGCAGAAGCGGGGCGGCACTGCAGGCCCCAGGAAACAGAGGTGAGGCGAGGAGCCCTGCGGTGTAGTGGGTTATGAGTTGCGCTGCTAACCACAGGGTCAGTTTGAAACCACCAGCTGCTACGAGGGAGGCAGAGGAGGCTTCTGCTCCATAACCAGCCCTAGACTCTGACCCCACAGCGGCGGGTCTACTCTGCCGTATAGGGTCACTGTGCGTCAGACCTGACTGGATGGCAGTGACTGAGCCTGGGCTGGGGCACCTCCTGCGTCTTTGGTCTGTAAGCTGGGAGATGCCTCATTTGGGGGAGAGGAGCACCTGGTTTCCCTTACGTAAACTGAGGTGACACATTTCCTCATAATCAAGGTCTGTGGGGCCTTTTGTTTGCATTGTCTTGATCTTGAATGATTTTCTGCGTATGAAACGCAGGTTAGGCGCAGCTACAGAGACAACTGGATGAGCAGATTCAAAGGGATGTGACAGGGGAGGGAGGCTGGCAGGAATCGGGGAGTGGACAACAAGGAGCACGGGGAATAAGACGTCCTGGAATGGATGGCGGGGGCGGCTGCACACCTCCCGAGTGTGACTGGACTATCAAAATGGATGCCATTCAGGTCGTGTGTCGGTGAAATGGTTAAAACAGCATCAATTTCAAAAAGCAGAGCCTGGGGAGAGAAGGGTTCAGCCAGTGCCGGCTGCCGTGTGAAAGGGGACTAGAGAAAAGAGGGGGGACCAACCAGACTACCAGGCAACAACACAGAGGGCTCCCCTGCAAGAAAATGTTTCAATTATTACAGAAAGTGAGGCTGCCTGCCCTCTCAATATGCAGCTTCTGTCTCCTTTTTGGACCCGTGGAACCTTTCTGCAGATGAGGAAACCCAGGCTGGGCAGCCCGGGGGGCTGTGGCCGGTCGTGGCGGGCAGGCCTGAGCAAAGAACTCCAGCCCCCGGGTCCTCGCCTACCTTGCTAGGCTTGTCCTTGCTGCTGCTGCCGGTGGAGCTGAGGGACCGCATCCGCTGCTCCTTGTGCTCCTCCACCTCGGACTTGAGGTGCTCGATGTGCACCAGGTAGGCCTGCTCCTGGGCCTCCCGGGTGCTCAGTTTCAGCTCCAGAGCCTTCTTCTCTTTCTCCAGCAAGTAGAGCTGAGCCTTCAGCTCGGCCATCTCCTCCTGCGGGGAGAGCAAAGGTCACTGCCCATGCGGGGCCTGTGGCCCATGGCAGGGCTGCAGGCGTGAGAAGGGGGCGTGGCTGGAGCTCAGGGAGGTGGAGTTACCCTCCGGAGCCAGAGGAGAAAGAACAGCTGGGGGAAGGCCGTTCAGGAGCCGTGTGCCTTGTTGCTTTCTGGACCAGGCAACTGGAGCTACCTTCTCCCCTTTCTGAAGCAGCCTGCTGCCTTGCTGGCAACAGCTGCTGGTCTCAGAGACTGAGCCTCGCCAGTCTAAGAGGTCAGAATGGAGAGCCCGCCCGACGGGCCAGGCTGGCCTGACTCACGCCTTCCACTTCCCACCGCACTGCCCCGCCAGCCTCGTGTGCCCTGCATATGCCCACCGTGAGGAGCTCGTCTACCCTCTTTAGGGGCACAATGAAATCACCAGTTCATCACAAGTGACCGCTCACCACGTAATAATGTCGAGCAGTGGCTTGGCGAACTCTTGGAGAATTAGGAATTTGTAGTGGAGAGTAAGAAGTGACTCCCAAACGGACCAGGAGCCGTGCTACAGTGATCACCAGGGCTGCTTTCACGAGCCGGGCAGCCTTGGACCCTCCCCGTCCCCCCACTTACAGATGAGAAGCGGAGGCACAGACGGCCGACGCCGCCTGCCCAGGGGACTGGGTCAGAATTCAGGCTGTCTAGCTTAGAGTCCAGCCTCTTAGCCATGATACTCTGGGGGGCTTCAAAAGGGCCATGGGAAAAATGGCCTTAAAACCTTCTTACAAGCCACCGTCTCTCCGTTTCAAGAGCAGCAAATCCCTGCTGGAGCCACCCTGCTGGTGGCCATAGGGCCACCCAATCCAGCTCCCCAGCTCCCTCTGTGAGAGCCAAGCCACTGGCTTCAGACTGACTCACAAGGTCACTAGTTCTGTCCGCCCTTCACGTGACTTTTCTGAGGTAACAGGCCACAGGCCTGGGGGGCTCTCCTGGGCCCTTCACAGCGACAACTCTCCAGACCCAGGGGTGAAGTTGTTACCAGCCCTTGTGGACCTATACCCATCAGGCAATGTGACCCACCAAGGCTGGTGGTGGTCTGTGGGAAGGGCAAGGTGCTCAGTGACCTTGAAAGATAACGTGCCAAACCTTTCCTCAAGATGACTCACCCGGAGCATGATAGTGGGACAGAAGGAAAATCAAGGGAAATAGATGAAAGAGCTGGGAGGCAAAGGGCATTTATAGAGGTCTAGATAAAGA